TTTTTTTTTTTTTTTTTTTTTCCCCCTCTTTTTCCTTTTTTTTTTTTTTTTTTTTTTTTCCGAACGGAACTGGAAACAGCGACGTGTTTGCTCAGCAACTAATCAGGGACAATTTAAAAACAGCCATAACATACCATACATGCTGTCTAATCCAAAAATTAAAAAAAAAAAAAAAAAACAACAAAAAAAAACCAAACCAAAACAAAAAAAACCAAAACAAAAAAACCCCAACATACACAACATGTAAATTATTGCACAAGAGAAAGGCTCAAAGTTTGCGTAAAATGCAATAGTATTGCCCCGATACAGATCATGCATTCAAACGGTGAGAACAAAAAGAAAATAAACAGGGTGTGCTGGTGACAAGCACTTTCCGAATATCCTTAGCTTCCATGATTTCCATCACAAGGGACTAGAAAACCTCTACGGGGATGCGGGATGGGGAAGGGATGGGGGTGGATGCGGGGGAGGGGGGGCGGAGTACGAATATACCTCTATTCAGTTTTTATCTCGTTATTCAAGACTCGATCACTGTGCCATTTTTTCATGTGTTTCTCCAGGGTACTGTACACGCTAAAAGGCATCTTACAAATCTCGCATTTGTAAACGTCCTTTCCCACCTGCCCGTGTGTTTTCATGTGCCGGGTGAGCTTGCTACTCTGGGCGCAGGCGTAGTTGCAAAGCTCACACTTATACGGCCTCTCGCCCGTGTGGCTCCGTCTGTGGACGGTGAGATTACTACAGTTCTTGAAGACCTTCCCACAGTACTCACAAGTGTCGCTGCGTCTGCCCTCTTTTGAGCTGGGCCTGCCAGGGCCCGGGCCACTAATATGGGGGGTGCTCCCTCCGCTTCCCGTGCCGCTGCGGCCTGAGATCCCTCCGTCCAGCTCGCCCGGCGGCGTGGAGAAGCGCAGGCTGCCGTTCTCCGAGGAGTGCTCGGAGGAGGAGGCGAAGGGCGATTGTCGGGAGTCGCCGAAGCTGAGGAAGGGGTCCTTCAGCTGCCGGGAGGCGGCATAGCCCGCCAGCCACTGGGAGTAAACGTTCTCGGTGTTGGGCATGGCGGCGGCCGGCAGGTCGAACTCCTTCTCCAGCTTGATGCGTTTGGAGAAGGGGCTCAGGGAGCTGGGGCTACCCAGCAGCAGCTTTTTGGACAGGCCTCCCGAGGCGGACTCCCCCGGGGAGCAGCCCCGGCCGTTGACCGCCCCCTCGTCGATGCGGTCAGACTCGCCGGCCACCGAGTCTTCGTCGCAAGTGTCCCTGTGCGCCTCGGGCTCGGGGAGGTGGCCCCGCTTGTGTTTCTCCCCCAGGACCTGGTGGAAGGCCTCGCTGAAGTGCTGCATGGAGCTCAGGACCATGCCCTGCATGACGTCCGGCATCGACCGGCCCTCCTCGCCGGCCCGCGAGTTGTTCTCGTGGTGGCGGGCCGCCTCCAGGCTCATCCCGAAGCCGTAGTCCGGCCTGTCGCTCTCGTTCAAGTCCTCCTCCTCTTCCTCCTCCTCCTCCTCCTCCTCCTCCTCCTCTTCCTCCTCTTCCTCGTCCCCGTTCTCGGGGATCATGTTGGGGTCGTTCTCGCTCTTGAACTTGGCCACCACGGACTTGAGGGCGCTGCTGGCGCTGCCCACCAGGTCGCTGGTGCCCGGCTCAGGGGAGCTGGCGGTGGAGAGCCCGTCATCCGACTTCACCGTCATGGGGGAGGACTTGTGCATGTGGGTCTTCATGTGGCGCTTCAGCTTGCTGGCCTGCGTGCAGGCGTGGTCGCAGAGGTTGCACTTGTAGGGCTTCTCCCCGGTGTGGCTCCGGCGGTGGACCACCAGGTTGCTCTGAAACTTGAAGGTCTTCCCGCAGAACTCACAGGACTTGGACTTCATGGGCGGCTGGGAGGGAGGAGGAGCGGACTGCAGAGGAGGAAGGGGTGGCGTGGCCAGGAACGGGGGCTTGCTGCCGGGCTGGAAGGGCTGCAGCAACCTTTGCATAGGGCTGGGCCGGCTCGGGGACAAGGGCGGGCTGGAGGTGTTGCCGGCCAGCTCCCGCAGCCTCCGGGAGAAATCCATAGCGGGGGGCTCCATCGCCATGGGGTTCAGTCGCAGCACCCTGTCAAAGGCACTAGGGTGATGGGTGGCCAGAGCCATTTCTTCCGCACCCAGGCGCTCAATGCGATGCGGATCCAAATGGTGCCTCGGGGGAGGGCTAAAGAGGGGCGGCGTGGGTGGGAAACGCCCTTCTCCCAGCCCTGACGCCTCCCTCGAGACCGAGCCGGGTATTCTGAGCAGGTTAAAAGGGTTATTGTCTGCAATGTGAATCCCGTGGAGAGGTGGCTGGGAAGGGCACTCTGCACCTAGTCCTGTTGGGATACCAACCCGTGGCGTCAGGGGGCTGCCGTGCTCGCTTTCTAGGTAGATCCGTAAGCCGTGCGTGTTCTGTGCGTGCTGCAAGAGGAACCAGGCGCTGTTGAAAGGCTGTTTACAAGTCGTACACGTGTAGCTGCTGGGCTCGTCTTTACCTGAAAAATAACACAACAAGCAGCGTCAATCTCCGGCCGTCCACCGGCGGGCGAGAGCTCGCCTCCCTGCCTAAGCTCCTCTCCCCCGGGACGCCCAGCTGGGAGCTGGGGAAGGGACGTCCCAGCTCAGGCGCAGGCAGGGGACAGGGGACGGGAGGAGGCGAGGGGCGGGCGCGACGGGGAGGTCCAAACCCACCTGAAGCGCACCCACCTACTCCCAACAGCCCCAGCCCCGGGTTCAAAACCGAACCCCAGCAGGTAACAGCAGCAAAAAAAGCTATGAAAAAAAAGAGGTGTTAAAGTCAATCGATGCCAGCTACAACTCGGCAGACTTTATGCTGCAAGAGGCTGCTAACATTTAAACTGGGGAGTAAATAAATAAATAGATAAGTAAATATAAAACAAATAAATCCCCTTCTGAAAAGCACTCCAGAAAACCGCATACATCGATTCAAAGCAGCAATCCAAAGCATCACGACTGCTAGCAAGCTGGGCATCATCACTTTGTAGCTCTGGGGCAAAAAAAAACAAAAAAAGGGGGGGGGGAAATTTAAATAAAATAGAGCATGGGACAGGGAGAGGGGAAGGCAGAGAGAGCGGCAGCTCCGCCAGGGAAAGAGCTGGAGGGTGGCCAGGAGGCCTGGCCGAGCGCCCTGCCGGAGCCGCATTATTTCTCTCGCACTGAAAAGAAGCTGAGGATGGTAAATGCCACTTTGGCAAGTAGCGAGCTAACTCTATTTCATGATAATTTATTTTTGGAGATAACACGGACATTATAAAAGAGCAACCAACTAATAAATAACTAAACAAAAAGCCGGCTAATAATGACAGCAGAAAGCAGCCCCTTCTAATATATGGCAAAACAAGGGGGATGAATAACTTTTTGAGGGCTGCCCATGAGGAAAGAGTGGCGTGAGATACGGTGAAGGTGAGTGCACTTTTATCAATTACTGTAATTTTGCAAATAATTCACTCCCACCCCCCTATGGATGTTTTTTACTAAATGCTGGTAAACCGAAACCGGAGCTAAGAGGAGGATAAAAATTCATTTCCAGCCCTGCCCAGCAGTTCTCACAGAGCTGCTGTTTAGTGATATTTTAAAAAACAAACACAATCTTGAGGTTTGCTGAGGAATAAACTAAGAGCCCTCCAAGGACATCAGTGCTTGGGGTTGATACCTGCCTGCACCACGTACTCCTGCCCTGACCCAGCATTTACATTACGAGGCATCTGCTCCATAGGGACCATTTCTGGGTAAACCTCTTTACGTGCTGCACTGAGAGCTGCCCCCATTAGGTTTCCCCTATTTGCCTAATATGAAGAAAAGGAGAAGAAAAAACAAATGAGGCAGATTTGGAAAGAAAACATCACTTTATCTGTGCCCATCTTGTTTCCCATCTCACTTGGGAGGAAGGGAAGAAAGGCTTCATATGGGCATTTTCGTTATCTGGTGAGCTGAATGATGATTTGGGGATACGAGAGGCAGGCAGCCCGCAGCACCAGCTGTAGTGCCCCGGCGCAGCTTTCCTCCCTGCCTCCCGGCTCTGCAGTTATTCTACGTTTGGCCTGAGAAGCTGAATCGGGTGAGTAAAAAGAGACTCGACTGTCTACAACAGGCATTTAACACTTTAATCACTTTAAAAGCCCTTGGAATAATATTTAATGTTTCATCCTGAAGCCAGCATCGGAATAAAATGCATTGCGGTGTTTAGTATGTGCCAGACGTGCAAGCACAGATAAATACTTAAATCTGCTGAAATTAGAGGGAAATTCAATTGGACTTTCACATTCCTATGCTCATATGTGAGCTCGGAAAAAAACCTTAAATGGGAAAATTTCATCTTGCTTCGCCATAATGAAGTGGAAGTTTTTAACACCACGGTAGGAGCTAACAATGTAACGCTACCTTGCCTCTCTACCTTATAGATGAGGTCAGAGAAAATAGCATTTTATCTTATAATGAGGACACAACATCGAGCGTTCGCTACTACATTTTAGTATTCCCATCAACTAGATATTCTAGATCATAAGGGCAGCTCGTGTAATCATAATGTCAATGAGAAGGGCTGTTACAACTGAGACTAAAGATTACATGGAAAAAGCTGCTTTGAAACTGGTAATTATTACCAGTCCACTAATAGCAAATGATGCATTACAGTTTCACCGTATAATCTGTATTTCACTCAGCTCCTGCCAGTACGGCCTTATTACATTACAGCACTCACAAATTCTAAATTCCAAAACTACAGTCATCAATAAATGTGTTACTTGCCATAATTTGCGAAATTACTTTGTTCATAACATCTTCGACTGTTATAAAGACTGGAATTGATTTCCTGCGTGGCAAAATTAGGGCTACATTGATTTAGTGGAGTGTAAAATGTAGTATTATTCTTCATTTGCTTGCCTGAAAAACAAGTTTTCAATTCACCATCCGCGTTTGGTAATCAAGATAATAATTTAAATTTAAAATCATATTTATGTACAAAACTTCCCTAAACAACCCACCATTTTCAAGGGAGCAACGTAAACCCAAACAATAAAACAAAGCAGCGAAACAGTTAAAATCCACCAGCCATTTGCTTCCACCTCCTGCTTTGAAGAGACACGATTTCTAATTTGTCTATTAGTGCTTGATTAATTATGAAGGCTATTGACTGACCATATCACCACCTAGAGATACGTTCCAGTCTGATGCAGCCTTGCCAAACTGCAAGAATTATGGCACTAATCCACGCGTCGCCTGCCAGCAGCGAGACGGGTCCTTAGACCGCCGCAGCAACCGCTGGTTTTGGAAGGGACTCGCCTTTCCTTCCTCCTGTCCCACCACCATGCTTTTTGGTACAGCGTTCGGGTCCCCCCAAAAGCCAGATGGGATTGTAGGACCTGAAGGCTGCGCATCCACTGATGTCTTCTAGCTATGGGCCAGCCTCTACGTCCACACAGGCTTCCCAGCTAATGCATCTGGGCAAGACCACGGTCAAGTGAGGAAAGCACAGTAGGGAGATGTAGTAGCCGGTGCTGGCCAAGGACAGAGGGGGAGAAGGTCCCAAGGGGCTCTTCGTGCCTCATCATCCACCAGGGCAATGTGACGGGATGCGTTATCCAAAGCAGCATTGCGACATCATTGGGGCTTTCCATTGATTTCCAAGAGGCTAGCAGGAATCCCCCAGATCGAGCTGTAAAGCAGGTCACCACTGAACCAGCCCTCTTCAGCCACCAGCAGTGGGACTGGAGCTCACATCCTCTGTTGCTTCGCATCAAGGAATTTAAAGTTGAAAGGGATCACCAGCTCTCACTCTCTGACCTTTCCTGCGATATGTGTCGCTCAGTTGTCCTGCGCCGTGACCAACACAATATCTTTGGGTAAAGTGTGGCCTCCTCCAGCCCCACAAACCGTCTTTAGGGCAAAGCACAAAACCCCAGTGAAAACCATTCAAATGAGTTCAGAAGACCAGGAGAGCACCCATTGCTTGCCACCACAGTCAGTTCCCACAGCTAACCACAGACGGTTACTGGGTCCACCTGAATTTCTCTGGCTCCAATCTCTACCCATTCTCTTTTTATGTTGAGGTTTTTTTTTTTTTTGGTCAATACACCAAAAAGCCCTTTGGTACACAACATGCCCTCCCACGCACGCCAAGGGTACTTGTGCACCCAGAAATCAACACACACTTCAAAATCTAGTTATTTTTCCATCCTGAAGCCACTCCTTCATTCTCCTCCACTATTCAAGGACCAGCCTAGCCCTTCTCACCCTGGCATCGTGCTGGGAAGGAGTTGGTTTTCCTCTAAGCCTCCCACAGAGCTGCTGCCTTCTGGGGTACCGCAGCCCAACTCCGTAAGCACGGCCCCAATTCCACTCTTTTAGCCAGGGACCACGGCAGGCTGTACCCAACCGTGCTCTCAACACACCCTGCTCGACAGTCTTTACAGACCACCCCCATAAACCCATCCCTGTTGCTCTTCACCCGTCCACCCGCCTTTGCTTTATCCACAAAGTTAATCAGCTGCAATTGCATGTTCATTTCTAAAACACCAACGAAGTGCTAACCACCACCGTGGCTCCCACCAGTCCCTGCTGACCTCTCCCATCCACTGATGCTTCTCCGGCTAAGCCCCCACATTCCCAAATCTGTTGGCCGGCTCTGAATCGCCTGTGCTAGTGATACTGCGCAGTGCTCGGTCTCCCTATACCCAATGTCACACAGTACCGCGTCCAATGCCTTGCAGAGTCTATTTCATCTACATTTATCAACAGAAGTTGTCATCTGGAAGAATGAAATCAAGTTTATTTGACAAGATCTATATTCCATAAATCTAAGTTGAGTGGCATGAATTATATTTCTATCCTTTAATTCTTTATCAATTGAATCTTATATTGGCTCTTCAATTATTTTGCCCAGAAGAGATAAGCAAAGTGTTGCCAACTCTCCCATGGTTACCCTGACCGGGTCTTGACGGCATTTTCCCAGTCCGTAAGCTTTATTAAAAACCAGCATCACATGTCAACTCTTTAGGGATTCTTGGGTGCAAGTTGTCAGGGCCTTTTCATTTAAAAATATTTATCTCCATTGGACCTTGTATAAAATCCTCCTTGGCTACTAATGAGATAGAAAAAACATCATCGCCCACCTATGATACAGAAACATAACACTGCTGCTTTCCAGGTCTACAGCAGCAATATTTATTAAAAATTTCCACCTTACTGCTTCTTCCATCCATCACTTCCAGGGTTTCTCTTTTCTCCAGGACCCTCAGAATCTCTCCTCTTCTCCCCATCCATGCCAGGCACAAGTTTTCCTCCGCAACTTCCGCTCCCCTGACCAGTTCTCTACCCGTCATGGTTTCTCACTGCAATTGATTGCTATCTACTTTCCATTTTTTAAATTGTCATGTATTGATTTTTTTTAATATCTAATTGCTGTTCTCATCTCACCACTTAAGCGGGGTTTGGATTTGGGCCAAAGTTGCCCTCTCCTTCCTGGACAGCTCATCAA